TGAATAAATTGCACAACTTTTAATAAATATTATCTGAATCTGAAACAAGGCAATCGCACTTAATTGACATGATTTGCATAGATTTCTGAAGTTGATGCAAGTTTTGGTGTCTTGCAACAATGTATGGAATATGTTGCAACATTTTAATAATTACTTTTCTTAAACTAAACTTGTTCTTAAATTCTTTAATAGTAAAATCAAAACTTTTGCAAGAAGTTGACAACTTCTCATTTAAATTAATAGCAGGAAAAATAAATTATTTTAATTGCTTCAGTAGCTCAGACATGGCAACTTTTCCCAAAGCCATATAATGCCTTCGGTGGCTTTACTAATTCTAATTGCCAGTTTGACCAACTTTTTGCACTCAAAGGTTGAAAAATTATTCGAAATGTGTATTGAGTTTATTCAACAACATATTTCAAAATTAATAATTACGATATATTTATTTATCTTTGTTATTCATACTTTGAGCAGTTCGGATTTTAATTAAAGTTTAATAACTTAATAACTATTATGCGTTACGCTCCCATTAAAATGGTTCGTATTACATTCAAAAATTTACAATACTCGTTGGTGGTAATATTTTCTTATATGATATAGAGATGATTGATCATCTAATTGATTGCGTTTATTATGTATTTATTTGCTGCTTCTATGGTATGTCAAAAAGCTGTTAACATGGAATTTTTAAAAGTGGTAAAAGGTGGTGGGCTACAACCACGTATAACTCAATGGTTATATATGAGTGTTATTAGACCAATACTGTTATATGTCAACACCGTATAGTGGACGGCCCTTTACAAATTTTCTTACTGTACTCAACAGGGTACCGTTAGTGGTATTCTACTCTTAATGCCTTATTTCGCAAACAATTCAATCTTTACAGTTACGTATGGAATAAATACTTAGATCATGTCATACTAACTTACTGATATATTCTATAAAATAATAATTAAAAGTAATGCTATTAGTTTTGAATAGTATAACTGACACCACATCCATCCATTAATGGCTTTTTCAGCACTTTGTAAATGTATAAGTTTGCGCAAGCAATCCAAATCGTACAAAGACATACTCCTCATAGACAATTTCCTTGACTTAACTTTCTCATTTTCTGTTGTGGTTTCGCTAAAATATTTTGTAAATACATTAAGAGTAATAATATTTTATTACATATTCAACATGTCATCATTTATCAAACCTAATGAGAATTACAAATTATAATTATGTTTACAGTATAAATCATTAATTCCCCTACACAGTTGTCATATTAACATATAGCTGAATATAAATCCCTTACTACTTAATATATTGAATGTATTGATTTTTGAAGCAGGTGAAATCCATCACGGACATTAATTCTCGTAAAGGATTTCGCCCGCTTAACCTTCCAATGTATTGCTATCACTTTATTAAAAATTTTTGTAAAGTTACTGAGAATTATATTACCTTGAACTATGTAAGAAGTTATCGACATTACATTCAACTAAATGAGAATTATAAATACACTAAAATAAACAAGAACTCGTATTGCCGTTATGTGCAATAAATTGTTGACTATGACTTTTGTTTTATTAAATTTTATTTATTAAATTCCCTTAAATTTTGTTATATTCAACTCAATAAGTTTTAGGTTATTGGGAAGGATTGATTTAAATATTTTCTTAAAAATTTAACCTTCCAATAAAATTATTATTGTGCTTGCAAAATTTATGAATTTATGGAAGCTACCGAAATCGTCTAAGGCCATTAACAGCCATAGGCGATCTCAGCAGCTAGACTTTGTCTGTGCTCTTTTCAATTTATTAAAATATTTTGGGAAGATATGGAGAATTATAACATTTTCTACTATGAAGTATTGCTTGGGCATTATATTAAACTAATGAAGAATTAAAAACAATACGAAATAGCAATCAATTTTTTAGTTGATGCAAGAAATCTCTTAAACAACATAATTGAA